GCGCAAATCTGCATAAATTCCCTAGAACTACTAAGCCTGCGCAGATTTGTTCAGGCCTTCAGCTCCATTGTCCTCCTGCTTTTGTTGTGCAAACACACTAATTACCTGTGAACCCTGGCACATTTGCATTTATTTACTCAGACTCCTAGTTCAAATACAAGGGAGCCCAAACCTACAGTATGTGTGTAATATGGAAACCTTCACAAAAGCCTGCCATATCTATACAAAATAACCCACACACTGACTGACCTGCAAATATGAAAGACACACATTCACAAAATATATGGAGAGACAAGTTTGTTTTATTTATAAAAAATAGAGTGAAAATAGAATGAAAAGTTGCTAATAGAATGAAATGAATAGAATGAAAACATGCTACGACATCAGTCTCCAATGTATGTTTGTACACAAATGTCATAAGCTGAGTGAAGTCATGGTCCATGGTTGATGACATGCTCGTACACGTACAGAATAAAATTCTGTCATTTCATTTTCATTGGCCATCACTGAATTATGACACCAAAAGTGAATTTTGTTTTTGTGTGATCTCTCCAGCTTTGCATGTTCTCTCCTCTGGCTGTTCATGTAAAAATGGCATAAATTGTAAAAAATGTAAAAAAAAAAAAAAATGTTATCAGTCCCTCAGTTCCAGGTTCATCTCTTCATCATCTTTCTGCCTTTTGTCTCAGTGGTTACTCTCCCACACAGTCTGTCTGTCTGTCTGTATGTTTCAAAGTCTGTGTTTGCAGACCAAGTGACCATCGTCCCTGCATTCGGCAACGGAGTTCCTTGGCTAGAAAAATCAGAAACAATCTTCTTTTTCCTTTCCACCCTGTACAGTACACGCCTTGTACAGAATGTAGGCATTCACCACCACCAGGTCCAGCAAGTTGTAAAATACAGCTACTGGCCACCTGCGTGTTGCTGCTCATACTGAATACATGCGCGCCATTCTAAACAGTGACATGGAGAATTCCTCTCGCTTCGCAGTGTCCTTTGCCGATCAAGGAAGTTCAAGAGTAAAGCAGTCTGTGTGACAGTGAAGAAATTGTCCGTTGTGACATTTCTCCCATCGTCCATAAATGGCTCCATCAGACTCATGACCACGTTCTCTATATATAGACAGGCACGCAATGGAGTGACAGGCAATGACAAGGGATGACAGCTTAGCCACCGTTCTCCTGTCACTCACAACCTCCACCGGGTCCAGAGGGCATCCTAGAACAGAGCTGACTCTCCGGATCAGCCTGTTCAGTCTCTTTCTGTCCCCAGCAGAGATGCTGCTGCCCCAGCAGACCACACCGTAAAAGATGGCTGATGCCACTACAGAGTCAAAAAAGGTCCTCAGGAGTGTCCCCTGCACTCCAAAAGACCTGAGCCTCTGCAGCAGGTACAGCCTGCTCTGCCCTTTTTTTTAGAGTGCATTTGTGTTATGAGTCCAGTCCAGTTTATTGTTCAGGTAAACGCCAAGGTACCATTGGCAGTGGCTAACGGTGCTGGGTGCTGTGGTTGGGGGGAGAGGAGCAGTGAGCAGAGAGTGTGGAAGCAGTGTGAAGTGTAGAGGATGTGTGAAGTGTCTGAGGTGGAACAGAGGTGGGGGTTAATTGGGGTGTATAACAGCTCCCAAAGTTCTTCATTTGGTACAGAAAACATATGCCCGACTGATGTTGAAGTTTATTCCGTCTTTATTCTTCTAAACACTGTGAAAAACTATAAAATAAACATATTATTAAATTCCTGCATTGCATTTAATCTTACAAACATCCTAAAGATCCACAATATTACCGCTAAACAGCAGCTCATAAGAAACAATTCCACACAATTCCAAACAAACTTTTCAACACAAGACAACAAATAAATACAATAAATAGAAACTAGTAACTGCAGGCAGTAACAAACGGGTCCAAAGCGTAGGATGATCGTCCTGGTAGGACAAACAGTAGAGGAGGGAACTAACAAGTCAGACAGAACTACAGGTCAGCAGATGTCAGACAGAACAGGACTGGTTTGGGTCAGATGGTCTGAGTAGCAGGTAGAAATCAGGATGGAGATTGTTGAGTGTCGGTCTAACAGGTCAGCAAATGTAGGACAGAATGTAGAACCCTGTGGTGGAGTGCCTGAGCCTGACTGAATGCATGGACTGGGTCCTATGGTCTGAGTAGTTGATAGATTTAAGCACCTTCATACCTGATCTGGTAAGTCTAGGTCTTACAGGTTTACTTTGTTTATACTGCCAGTGTTAACATAGGCTGTGTTGCATAGTCTTAACAAAGTGCTGAGTTGCGGGAGTGCGGCATGTAATAGCAGTAATATCATGCTGTATCCTATTCTAGGTTGTTCATTTACACAGGAGAAAGGCTGAAAGTATTGAATGGCATTATTGGAATGGAGCACTGACTCCACCTGCTGGCTAATTTATTTAAAAAATGTAATTGCTGCAGTGTGCACAGCCTGAAGAATCATTGAAGTTTGATACATTTCTAAAAGTCAAATGGCAGGAAAATATAAGCAGATTAAAAATATGGACTTAGATGAAGGGAAAGGTGATTAATCATTGAAGGTTATATGAGAAATAAGGACATCTCAGC